TGCAGCGCCGCCTGGACGAGCACATGGTCGAGCGCATAGAAAAACGCCGTGATGATGGCCGTCTGCTTGAGGCGCGACTCGATCGTCTACATACAGAGAGCCATCGCTCCATTTCGCAAAATCGAGTGTGGAAAACGTACGTCTTGCTTCTCGAAAAATAGCTTTTCGCTAAAGAGCGCCATGTGGTCCTGGTCCTTGGTCGGCGACGACGCGATTGCGCCATGGAGCTGACGCGTGATGTACGCCGCGCCTGCGTACATGCCAAGGTAGACCGTCGCCGCGGCGAGGAAGCTCGCCTTGCCGTGCCAGATGCGCAGGCACGTGGTAGGCAGGCACACGGACGTGGTCGTGTACTTTTCGAGGAGGTAGGCGAAGACGAGCATGAAGGGCGCGAACGCAGCGCTCATGAGTTTGCCTTTTGGGAACGGGAAGAAGCAGACAGCGACGGCGCCAGCTCGGTCGTCTCCATGGGATCTGAATTGCAGAAATGCAGAAAGGCTGCAAATCTCGAACCCAGAAGATCTTCCTTTCCTCAATCAAGACCGAACTACTTGGGGGCAACAACCGTGTTGGTGTCCGCCATGCCAGTGGTGGGCGGGTTGGCTATTTGACTGACGCTACCAATTTGGAGATGGCTTGAGCTTGTGTGCTCTGCGCTTCGATCTTGGATCTTGTAACGTGTGCGATCTTGTAACTGGTCTTCTAGATCGCTCGGCTTTGCCTCTTCCACTTCTTGGAAACAGCCCTTCTCGATACCTCGGAGACTGGATCGATATCGGTTTTCACAGGTTCCTTGTTGAGACTCGGCCGTGCCAGGTGCTCGAGTGGCGTCGACACCGATGGGCTCGTGCGTTCAACACTCTGTCTACAAGCACGAGATTCGAATCGTATCCTCGTTTCCAGTGGAGCAGTGGTCGTAATCTCAAAGTGCAATCTCAACTTGACAATGCACGTTGAGTTTGAGAAACTGCCACCGCACCTACGACGCTGCACATAAGAGGCTGGAAATGAGACTGGCGATGCCATAGCAAACCCTCGTGCAGTATGCGTAAATGGACGATCACGGGGACGATACCCAACTGGATTGAGCGTGGCGCCAACAGCATTTCGTTCACGAGTGGAGACAAGACGTGGGTGCTCGTGAGCTGGCGGCCGCGCTTCCTCGAACGACACGCTCGCTCGGCGTCGACCTCGTCATCAGCGGTGTTCGGCTGTCCACGACAAGCTACATTTTCTTTGGTTTGTCCCTTGCACTGTGCGCAGGCGTCTCTATCGTGTTGCCACGCAACAACAGCGCTGCGTTTCAAACCGAGACCAAGTTCCGTCGCTTCATGTACCACGCAGTCGTCGTCGACGGCGGCCGTCGTCATCTCGTGCTTGAAGGCACTAGTACGGCGTAGGCTTCCTCTATTTAAGATCGCTCGCACAAAACAAGCATCTCAAGCAACACAAATGGGATGCAACAAATGCCAACATCCAACTAAAGTATTTGCATGCAGTTCATGTTGACCTTTTGATTAAGCGCTCTCGGTGTGGCTGCTTCGACGGCGCAAAATCGGTATCGACTTAGTACTTGACAGCGTCGATCCACTGGTTGGTGTTGGCGTTGTGGCACTCCCACACCTGCGCCGCGTGCGCCGGGTTGGTCGGGTCAACGTCCAAGCACAGGTTGTTGTGCGTCGCGTGCTTGATCTTGTGGTTGCCGGCATCGATGATCCACTTTTGGTTGCCGTTGGTGGCGTCGCAGGCGTACGTGTGGAGACCAAACTTGTTGCCGTCACGGTACGCGTCGAGGCATTGACCGTTGCTAGCCGCCTGGAGCGTCTTGGCCGCCGAGTCGTAGGTGAAGAGCTCGTTAGCCGTGTCCGAGGCCCAGTTGGCATAGACACCCGAGTAGAACTCGGAGATGGCCTACTTGTCCATCGTGATAAGCTTGACGTAGCTCTTGGCAGCCGGTGCTTCCTCGCACTTGGTGAACCACTGGCTGACACCGCCCGTGCAGTCGGCGACGAACGGGGCAGCGCCGGGCGTGGCGTGGGCCGACTCGAGGCAGAGGTTGCGCACGGCCAAGTGGCGGAGGCTGTGCGAGTTGGGTTCAAAGTCCCACTTCTGGGCCGAGCCGCCCGTGCACGTGTAGAGGCGCACCTGGTTCTTGCCCTGGACGTCCTGGTACACATCGAGGCACGTCGTGTTCTTGGTCTGCGACTGGATCGACTTGTCGTCAAAGTTGTACCAGAACTTTTCGTTCAAGTTCTTCTTCTCCGTGTCGACGAAGAC